TTTCATGTTTTTCGCACATGAACGCATGTACGGACTGGGCAACATATGATGTATGTTCCCGCTAAACGTAGCCAGAGAACACCTGGGCTAAACTTAGCTGGGAAACTTATTTAGTTAAGTTTAGCGACAACACTTCATACGCGCTAATTTGTTTAGCGACTCATTCGTGTAGCGCTTATTCGTAAGAAGCACGACACCCACAAATTCAAAACAAGAATCGCTAGTACGTTAAAAAGCGGCCGCAATTGCTATTGTTAATTTTTTTAAAGCGATCTTAAAGAGTTTAGTTTCCTTAGGGTCTTTAAACCACTTTGAGATATATTTTGACGTATGCTAAATTTAGCCGAGAAAAGGACATCATATCACTCGGTGTCACGTATAGAAAAATTCAGTTTCCCCGCTAGATTTAGCGGGAAAATTGACGTTACGTGTCCTCAACACTAATCCAGTTTCCCTGCTAAATATAGCGGGGAAAATGACGTCACATAACTTCTTGTCAGGTGACCTGAACGCAAATTCAGTCTCCCCGCTAGATTTAGTGAAAAAATGGATGTCACGTGACCTCAACCAATTCAGTTCCCCCGCTAAATTTAGCGGCAAAATGGCGTCAGGACTTGATGTCACGTGACCTCAAGGCCCATTCAGTTTCCCCGTTAAATTTAGCGGGGAAAATGACGTCATATGGTTTTATGTCACGTGATCGACACAGAAATTCATTTGATCCGCTCGGAAAATTGACACGTGACATGACGCAGCTCTTTCAATTATGTCTGCAACTAATCGCTTAATTAGACAACAACATATACAATTGGTTCTGCCCGAATTTTTAAATATTGAACGGACCTGCCTGCTCTCCATTACACCTTCACCACACCTTTCATTCCGCGGTTACAAGTTCATCCGCAAACACACTTTGCGCTTTCGGGATTGATTTTACGTGTAATGCACAAACATTCACGCCACTAAAGTATCGGTATACACATGTTTCACTCGTGTTTTCTTTTTTTTTATTCTTTTTATAGCAGAATGCCGTGCGCAGCGTGCTGATTCCTTTCTTCATATCGCCCGAGGCGCCAAACCCCACCGCCACTAATACTTCGACGCCGTGTTTTACGATCTCTGGAAATCCTGCCCACGGCAAAAAAATGGAGAAAAAAGAAAAGAAAAAAGAAAGCAGGTGCCTGCCGAGTTTCTGGACAACATCCGGAGAACGGCTTTGGCTTTGACTTTCAGCTTCAATTTCAGCCGTTTTCGTTTTATATTAAACGGGCAGCAGGCGGGTGGCTGGACTCTGAGAGCGAAATCATAAAAGACCGGACTCCTGGCTCGTTATAAATTCCGTTTCCTCTCTTTTTATTCGCTAGCCTCTTTCGACGGAATCGTGAGTCGACTTCAAAAGAAGAAACTTGAGGGGAGCGTGGTCTTAGGCTTCTTTTATTTATTTTTTGTTTGTTTTGTTTTTATCAGACAAGTTCGATATTGCGGTGAAGGTTATGCATTCCCCTTGACTTTGTTTCTGCTAGAATAAAATGTCCAAAACGAGTTTATATTGCCTCAGAGGTTCACGGTCATCAAAAATCAAAACAAAAAATATAAAATGAAAATACAAATTGTGTTGTTTTAGCGACGTTTTGCATTTTCTTCGGAGTAATTATAGTCGTAACAACCCCGAGACTGCAGGTGAGCAAAGGGCGACACACACACAAGAAAAAAGACTCAAGCAATCTTGAAATTTATTTAACTTTAACAGTGCTTAGGTAGGAGATGTAACAGAGAGACAGAAACACCATAGACGAAAGAAAGCGGGAGATTGTTTTTCTTCTTTCGTCTGCGGAGTTTCTGCCTTTTCGTGGCGTTTTCTGTTTAAGCACTTTTTTTAGAGAAATATGTTTCAGCTCTGCTTGAGACTTTTCCAGTGTGTGTGCGTGTGTGCGTGTGTGTGCGTACGTGCGTGTGTGTGTGTGCGTGTGTGCGTGCGCGTGTGCGCGTATGCGTGCGCGTGTGCGTGTGCGTGTTCGTGTGCGTGTGTCGTCTAATGCTTACCTGCACTTTCGGGGATGTGTTATGTCTGATAAGCTTCGCCGGTTCCTTTGGCTTTGGTTGCCACTGGCTTTGGCGTTTGCTTTGGCTGCGCGTGCGGCGAAGTGTTACCACTAAATAAATTGCCAGTTTCCGGCCGTTTGAGAGAGCTCCCATGCATTTCAGTTCTAATCGCCGAGCGTGGATTTCGACGTTTACCATTCAAAGTCATAATCTCAGACGCCATAAGTCAGGAGACTCAAAGATTTCCAGGTGTAGACACTCTTTGCAGCAGTAACTCTCCTTACGCGAAATATACTGTAAGCAAATACGGGAGATATCCTGTACATAAACGGTACCACCGAGATCCGTCAATACAGAAAATATATAAGGAAGAACGCGTAGGTTTATGTTTATGGCTGTAAGATTCATAAGCTCGTCTTTTGTCGCATCATAAAAAAAATGTTAAAGAAATAAAGGAAGTTATAAAAAAAGAGTTCTCAAAGGATAATAAAAAATTGCAAAAAATTGTTAAATCAATTGGCCTAAATAAATTTTTTTTTTGTAAAACAGTATTTTACAAGACTAAAGGAAAATTAGTAGAAATAAGAATCTATATAAAAAAGAAAAACGTGGAACGATTAAAAACAACTTCATCTAAATAACATTTTGTTTAAAATAAAATATGTCCAAAGAATCATCCGTTTCCTCTTGTTGCACTCGAACGAAAAAAGTACAAATTTATCTACGTCAACAAAATAAAGTCGTTTCTTTTTTTCGACTGCCCGAACGACCTTCCACATTAGCGGATGTTCACGGACATGTTCGTTTGCACTAACAGTCGCTGAGACGCAACCATAAAACAAAGTCTGCCAACAAAACCTATGCAAATGGCGCATAGCAATGAGTCTATGTTGAACGTCGCACTGTGGGGAATGTTGACAGTCGCGAAGCATAAACAGGCCGAACGTCTAACTGGTCCGAAGACACGACCGTTAATTCACCACCAAACCATCCACGTGTACCTACTGTACACGCGCCAAAAACAACAATACATCTCCGACAGAATATTATGTATACGAGCGCGAACCGCAGACGTCGTCGAATCTTTCTACCTGGGATTACAAAAGGAGCACAACGTACTTACGAGCGATCTCTTCGGGAGTTACACACACACACACACGGGGGACGCGGACGCCAACACTCCGTTTTCCCTTACAAGAAACCGCAGACGAAGCTACGTGTCGTCTCGGCCAATCGGGTGTAGCGCGAGAGTCACATGACCTCAGAGAGGGGCGCGTTGTCACGCCACACGTTTGCTGCGCCGTATTGGCTGGGATTGGCTCTGTAGCGTCCAATCAAAGCCGATCCAGTACCACGCGAGTGTCACGTGACCTTAGTAAGTGTCAGAACTTGTACGTTACGTGTTCCTCATTCCTATAAAAATAATTAGTTACTTTTTTTCTCCCCTTTAAGCAAGTAACAACCTGTACTTCGTTTCAGCTTGAGGTCAGACGCAGACGACGCTATGCGGGGAGTAAGTCGTCTGCTTCTTGCAGAGGAGTGTGGGTGACGTTATAACGACGCCGAGCTCTGACTGGCTTTGATTGAAGAGATAGTGGGTAGACCTCAATGCTATAGATGCCTTCAAAATCTGCCCACTATATTATTTTTTTTTTTGTTAATCAGGCAATACCAGCTCGGTGTTTTCACATCATCGCAACCCCTCTGCAAGAAGCAGACGAACATGCGCTTCGCATTGGTGTACTGGCCCCAATCAAACAACATCAAAAGAACAATCCACTGGGCCTTTTATTTTTTGTTTATGATTGTTTCAGCGATGATAGGACACGTACAGAAACGCGACGAACACCACGACGGTTCGCGCTTTTGCCGACGCTCTCTGACTGATGCCATCAGCTAATAGAGTCGGCTGCATCCGGACTTGAGGTGAAACAAAGTATAGCCTCATTTTTTTTAAGAGAAAAAACGAGCCACGTATCTTCGTTCCTTCCCGAATAATTAACGAGTCACGGCATTTCGTAACTTCATTTCAGTAACGTCTACATAAGGGGCGGGAAAGGGGGGGGGGGGGGGGTAATGACGCTGTGACTTGAAACGTTTCTCGGCACGGGATTGACTGGGACGGCTCGCATAGCGTTCCGCGCGGTCCATTGTAAGCTGAAACGTATAGAGTAGAGAGAAAACAGTCTCGGGATATTCGGAGTACATGGCGTTAGTGTGCCCCCGGACGACGGAAGGGACGAATGTATTGATACGCGCGTTGCGATTAATGTCAGTGCAAACACAGGGAGTGAATACGGGAGTCGTCTACCAGCTCGGGCTGCATAATCTGCGCCCGCCCGGTCTTTTGTAAACAGAGACCGATCTGCTTACACGCGGGAGAGAGACGGAGAAGCAACAGCGACGAGGTGAAAGAGAAGGGAGCGATGAAAGATAGGAAGAGGAATGGAAAAAAGCACGATAGATAAATAGACACGCAAAGAAAAGAGATTGAACGAATATATATATATATATATATATATATATATATTCGTTCAATCTCGCGTAAGGAGAAAGGTGGAATGGGGATATACATTAGAAGATAAATATAAATATAGGAAGAGAGACGAATGAAGAAGTTAGAAGAGAGAGACGAACCGAACAAGAGAGAAAGAAACATGAAAGAGAGAGAGATAGCGAGTCATAAGAAGGAGATTGAAAGGGATACGTGAAGATAAAAAAAGACATATAGGCATACATCTAACGAGAAAAACGCAAGGGGAAAGAGGCAGAATAACATAGACGCACGAATTATGAGAGAATGGCGTAAGAGGTGAAAATAGAGGCACGGAGAAAAAAAGGAGGGAGAGAGATAGAGAAACAAAAAAAAAGTGACATAAAAAGAGATATAAAGATAGCGAGAGAGTGAAAAATAGTTTGGCTTAAAGTGAAAACGCATAAAAGAAAGCCAGAAAAAGTTACTTAAAAAGAAAGGAAATCGTAAGGTATAGAAGAGAAAAGGCATTGCAAAGGAAGATACAAAAAAGGAGAGAAAAGAGATAGAGAGAGAAAGACATAACTGCAACCATACGTAAACATATATACTGCAAAACTCTTATTCTTTACGAGCCCCTAATTTTCGCTAATTTCTCGAATTGTAAAGTTTGCGAACTTTAGTGGACGCAAGTATTTCCATTGTCTGTAGAATCGAATTCCAGCCTTTAGAATTCGCAAAATTTAATGGACGCGAATACGACTCTGCTGCTCAATTCGCTAAAGATCAGGGCCGCGAAAATAAAGTGTTATACAGTATATGTATAGAAAGAGAGAGAGAGAGAGAAAGAGAGAGAGATGGGCATGAATAAAATGAGACACGCATTAGAGAGTAACACACATACACATTCATAACATCAATGAACGAAGAAGAGATAGTGAAGAGATAACCGAGAAAATAAAGAGACATAAGAAAGAGAAAGTGCCACGAGAGAATGAGAGGGAGAGAGAGAGAGAGAGAGAGAAAGAAAGAGATACGCATGAATAAAATGAGACACGCATTAGAGAGTAACACACATACACATTCATAACATCAATGAACGAAGAAGAGATAGTGAAGAGATAACCGAGAAAATAAAGAGACATAAGAAAGAGAAAGTGCCACGAGAGAATGAGAGGGAGAGAGAGAGAGAGAGAGAGAAAGAAAGAGATACGCATGAATAAAATGAGACACGCATTAGAGAGTAACACACATACACATTCATAACATCAATGAACGAAGAAGAGATAGTGAAGAGATAACCGAGAAAATAAAGAGACATAAGAAAGAGAAAGTGCCACGAGAGAATGAGAGGGAGAGAGAGAGAGAGAGAAAGAAAGAGATACGCATGAATAAAATGAGACACGCATTAGAGAGTAACACACATACACATTCATAACATCAATGAACGAAGAAGAGATAGTGAAGAGATAACCGAGAAAATAAAGAGACATAAGAAAGAGAAAGTGCCACGAGAGAATGAGAGGGAGAGAGAGAGAGAGAGAGAGAAAGAAAGAGATACGCATGAATAAAATGAGACACGCATTAGAGAGTAACACACATACACATTCATAACATCAATGAACGAAGAAGAGATAGTGAAGAGATAACCGAGAAAATAAAGATACATAAGAAAGAGAAAGTGCCACGAGAGAATGAGAGGGAGAGAGAGAGAGAGAGAAAGAAAGAGATACGCATGAATAAAATGAGACACGCATTAGAGAGTAACACACATACACATTCATAACATCAATGAACGAAGAAGAGATAGTGAAGAGATAACCGAGAAAATAAAGAGACATAAGAAAGAGAAAGTACCACGAGAGAATGAGAGGGAGAGAGAGAGAGAGAGAAAGAGATACGCATGAATAAAATGAGACACGCATTAGAGAGTAACACACATACACATTCATAACATCAATGAACGAAGAAGAGATAGTGAAGAGATAACCGAGAAAATAAAGAGACATAAGAAAGAGAAAGTGCCACGAGAGAATGAGAGGGAGAGAGAGAGAGAGAGAAAGAAAGAGATACGCATGAATAAAATGAGACACGCATTAGAGAGTAACACACATACACATTCATAACATCAATGAACGAAGAAGAGATAGTGAAGAGATAACCGAGAAAATAAAGATACATAAGAAAGAGAAAGTGCCACGAGAGAATGAGAGGGAGAGAGAGAGAGAGAGAAAGAAAGAGATACGCATGAATAAAATGAGACACGCATTAGAGAGTAACACACATACACATTCATAACATCAATGAACGAAGAAGAGATAGTGAAGAGATAACCGAGAAAATAAAGAGACATAAGAAAGAGAAAGTGCCACGAGAGAATGAGAGGGAGAGAGAGAGAGAGAGAAAGAAAGAGATACGCATGAATAAAATGAGACACGCATTAGAGAGTAACACACATACACATTCATAACATCAATGAACGAAGAAGAGATAGTGAAGAGATAACCGAGAAAATAAAGATACATAAGAAAGAGAAAGTGCCACGAGAGAATGAGAGGGAGAGAGAGAGAGAGAAAGAAAGAGATACGCATGAATAAAATGAGACACGCATTAGAGAGTAACACACATACACATTCATAACATCAATGAACGAAGAAGAGATAGTGAAGAGATAACCGAGAAAATAAAGATACATAAGAAAGAGAAAGTGCCACGAGAGAATGAGAGGGAGAGAGAGAGAGAGAGAAAGAAAGAGATACGCATGAATAAAATGAGACACGCATTAGAGAGTAACACACATACACATTCATAACATCAATGAACGAAGAAGAGATAGTGAAGAGATAACCGAGAAAATAAAGAGACATAAGAAAGAGAAAGTGCCACGAGAGAATGAGAGGGAGAGAGAGAGAGAGAGAGAAAGAAAGAGATACGCATGAATAAAATGAGACACGCATTAGAGAGTAACACACATACACATTCATAACATCAATGAACGAAGAAGAGATAGTGAAGAGATAACCGAGAAAATAAAGAGACATAAGAAAGAGAAAGTGCCACGAGAGAATGAGAGGGAGAGAGAGAGAAAGAAAGAGATACGCATGAATAAAATGAGACACGCATTAGAGAGTAACACACATACACATTCATAACATCAATGAACGAAGAAGAGATAGTGAAGAGATAACCGAGAAAATAAAGAGACGTAAGAAAGAGAAAGTGCCACGAGAGAATGAGAGGGAGAGAGAGAGAGAGAGAAAGAAAGAGATACGCATGAATAAAATGAGACACGCATTAGAGAGTAACACACATACACATTCATAACATCAATGAACGAAGAAGAGATAGTGAAGAGATAACCGAGAAAATAAAGAGACATAAGAAAGAGAAAGTGCCACGAGAGAATGAGAGGGAGAGAGAGAGAGAGAGAGAGAGAAAGAAAGAGATACGCATGAATAAAATGAGACACGCATTAGAGAGTAACACACATACACATTCATAACATCAATGAACGAAGAAGAGATAGTGAAGAGATAACCGAGAAAATAAAGAGACATAAGAAAGAGAAAGTGCCACGAGAGAATGAGAGGGAGAGAGAGAGAGAGAAAGAAAGAGATACGCATGAATAAAATGAGACACGCATTAGAGAGTAACACACATACACATTCATAACATCAATGAACGAAGAAGAGATAGTGAAGAGATAACCGAGAAAATAAAGAGACGTAAGAAAGAGAAAGTGCTACGAGAGAATGAGAGGGAGAGAGAGAGAGAAAGAAAGAGATACGCATGAATAAAATGAGACACGCATTAGAGAGTAACACACATACACATTCATAACATCAATGAACGAAGAAGAGATAGTGAAGAGATAACCGAGAAAATAAAGAGACATAAGAAAGAGAAAGTGCCACGAGAGAATGAGAGGGAGAGAGAGAGAAAGAAAGAGATACGCATGAATAAAATGAGACACGCATTAGAGAGTAACAATATACATTCATAACATCAATGAACGAAGAAGAGACAGTGAAGAGATAACCGAGAAAATAAAGAGACATAAGAAAGAGAAAGTGCCACGAGAGAATGAGAGGGAGAGAGAGAGAGAGAGAAAGAAAGAGATACGCATGAATAAAATGAGACACGCATTAGAGAGTAACACACATACACATTCATAACATCAATGAACGAAGAAGAGATAGTGAAGAGATAACCGAGAAAATAAAGATACATAAGAAAGAGAAAGTGAGACGAGAGAATGAGAGGGAGAGAGAGAGAAAGAGAAAGAAATAAGAGATACGCATGAATAAAATGACACACGCATTAGAGAGTAACAATATACATTCATAACATCAATGAACGAAGAAGAGATAGTGAAGAGATAACCGAGAAAATAAAGAGACATAAGAAAGAGAAAGTGCCACGAGAGAATGAGAGGGAGAGAGAGAGAGAGAGAGAAAGAAAGAGATACGCATGAATAAAATGAGACACGCATTAGAGAGTAACACACATACACATTCATAACATCAATGAACGAAGAAGAGATAGTGAAGAGATAACCGAGAAAATAAAGAGACATAAGAAAGAGAAAGTGCCACGAGAGAATGAGAGGGAGAGAGAGAGAGAGAGAGAAAGAAAGAGATACGCATGAATAAAATGAGACACGCATTAGAGAGTAACAATATACATTCATAACATCAATGAACGAAGAAGAGATAGTGAAGAGATAACCGAGAAAATAAAGAGACATAAGAAAGAGAAAGTGCCACGAGAGAATGAGAGGGAGAGAGAGAGAGAGAGAAAGAAAGAGATACGCATGAATAAAATGAGACACGCATTAGAGAGTAACACACATACACATTCATAACATCAATGAACGAAGAATAGATAGTGAAGAGATAACCGAGAAAATAAAGAGACGTAAGAAAGAGAAAGTGCCACGAGAGAATGAGAGGGAGAGAGAGAGAGAAAGAAAGAGATAGGCATGAATAAAATGAGACACGCATTAGAGAGTAACACACATACACATTCATAACATCAATGAACGAAGAAGAGATAGTGAAGAGATAACCGAGAAAATAAAGAGACATAAGAAAGAGAAAGTGCCACGAGAGAATGAGAGGGAGAGAGAGAGAGAGAGAAAGAAAGAGATACGCATGAATAAAATGAGACACGCATTAGAGAGTAACACACATACACATTCATAACATCAATGAACGAAGAAGAGATAGTGAAGAGATAACCGAGAAAATAAAGAGACATAAGAAAGAGAAAGTGCCACGAGAGAATGAGAGGGAGAGAGAGAGAGAGAGAAAGAAAGAGATACGCATGAATAAAATGAGACACGCATTAGAGAGTAACACACATACACATTCATAACATCAATGAACGAAGAAGAGATAGTGAAGAGATAACCGAGAAAATAAAGATACATAAGAAAGAGAAAGTGAGACGAGAGAATGAGAGGGAGAGAGAGAGAAAGAGAAAGAAATAAGAGATACGCATGAATAAAATGACACACGCATTAGAGAGTAACAATATACATTCATAACATCAATGAACGAAGAAGAGATAGTGAAGAGATAACCGAGAAAATAAAGAGACATAAGAAAGAGAAAGTGCCACGAGAGAATGAGAGGGAGAGAGAGAGAGAGAGAAAGAAAGAGATACGCATGAATAAAATGAGACACGCATTAGAGAGTAACACACATACACATTCATAACATCAATGAACGAAGAAGAGATAGTGAAGAGATAACCGAGAAAATAAAGAGACATAAGAGAAAGTGCCACGAGAGAATGAGAGGGAGAGAGAGAGAGAGAGAAAGAAAGAGATACGCATGAATAAAATGAGACACGCATTAGAGAGTAACAATATACATTCATAACATCAATGAACGAAGAAGAGATAGTGAAGAGATAACCGAGAAAATAAAGAGACATAAGAAAGAGAAAGTGCCACGAGAGAATGAGAGGGAGAGAGAGAGAGAGAGAAAGAAAGAGATACGCATGAATAAAATGAGACACGCATTAGAGAGTAACACACATACACATTCATAACATCAATGAACGAAGAAGAGATAGTGAAGAGATAACCGAGAAAATAAAGAGACATAAGAAAGAGAAAGTGCCACGAGAGAATGAGAGGGAGAGAGAGAGAGAGAGAAAGAAAGAGATACGCATGAATAAAATGAGACACGCATTAGAGAGTAACACACATACACATTCATAACATCAATGAACGAAGAAGAGATAGTGAAGAGATAACCGAGAAAATAAAGAGACATAAGAAAGAGAAAGTGCCACGAGAGAATGAGAGGGAAAGAGAGAGAGAGAGAAAGAAAGAGATACGCATGAATAAAATGAGACACGCATTAGAGAGTAACACACATACACATTCATAACATCAATGAACGAAGAAGAGATAGTGAAGAGATAACCGAGAAAATAAAGATACATAAGAAAGAGAAAGTGAGACGAGAGAATGAGAGGGAGAGAGAGAGAAAGAGAAAGAAATAAGAGATACGCATGAATAAAATGACACACGCATTAGAGAGTAACAATATACATTCATAACATCAATGAACGAAGAAGAGATAGTGAAGAGATAACCGAGAAAATAAAGAGACATAAGAAAGAGAAAGTGCCACGAGAGAACGAGAGGGAGAGAGAGAGAGAGAGAAAGAAAGAGATACGCATGAATAAAATGAGACACGCATTAGAGAGTAACACACATACACATTCATAACATCAATGAACGAAGAAGAGATAGTGAAGAGATAACCGAGAAAATAAAGATACATAAGAAAGAGAAAGTGAGACGAGAGAATGAGAGGGAGAGAGAGAGAGAGAGAAAGAAATAAGAGATACGCATGAATAAAATGACACACGCATTAGAGAGTAACAATATACATTCATAACATCAATGAACGAAGAAGAGATAGTGAAGAGATAACCGAAAAAATAAAGATACATAAGAAAGAGAAAGTGAGACGAGAGAATGAGAGGGAGAGAGAGAGAAAGAGAAAGAAAGAGATACGCATGAATAAAATGACACACGCATTAGAGAGTAACAATATACATTCATAACATCAATGAACGAAGAAGAGATAGTGAAGAGATAACCGAGAAAATAAAGATACATAAGAAAGAGAGAGAGAGTGACACGAGAGAATGAGAGCGAGAATTGAAGAGGGTAACAGGAAGAAGGGAGGTACGCTACATAGGGAAAGAGTGCCCGTACACCCTCCCAGCACGGCTCCTCCCTTATCGGTGCCGACCAGGCCCCGCGCTCTCTCCAAGACGGAGGAGGAAGCGCACCAGGTACACAAGATATTGGTTAATGCGAAGCGGAGACGGCCATTGTTACGGTCCGGGCGCAGACACGGCTCGCGATAAGGCTGGAACCGGAATGGCCAGTTCGCTCCCAAGTCCCAGAACCCGGGAAAAAAAAAAAAGGCAGTCGCGTTGTTTGCGGCCGTTTGGCACGTGTTTTCCGGGGAGAACTGGCCGACTTCCGTTTGCCTTTCGTGCGTTGATTTGTTTTAACGCAGAACTGCCTTTCGGGCGGAGACTAACTCACATCTCGTGTCGTCTGAGGAACGTGCTTTTGAACGGGGGCGAGATAGATAGGAAACGTTGGGCCGACTGCCATATATGACGTGGCAAACGAACCGACACATCTTCGCGCGCAGTCAAACTCCTTATTCATCGTACGAAGGAGGCAGTTTTCGCTGCACGCGGGATGACGGCATTATCTGCAAGCATGCCTAAAGCATATGGTCAAAGCGTGTTTGTTTTATGTATGCTTCGAAAATGACTCCAGACGGGTTTTGTATGCCCAATGTTGCAGTGCAAACAGGGAAAAAAAAAAAAAGAACACGACTCAGATTGATTAGCAGTGTGCCCGCTGTTTTTAAGAGGCTGTGCAACGGTATCGGATTAAAACGTTGTTTCCTTTACACGGGCATACTGACACTGCTGTGGCCCCGGTAGACTCGCGCGGAACGCCACTGATCAAAACGTTTTTTTGTAACGGTGTAATTTCGAGGATTAAAGGTGGCTCTTTTTTTCCTTCAGTCTTTCTTTCGTAAAATTTGAAGACGTATAGTAGCGGGAATAGTACAAGTGACATAATCACAAAAAAGTTATGCCTTAACAACGATATTTGAACGCGGCTTGTGGGTTGGACATGAACGCAAGTGTGAACACTCGGCTTGGATTGGTGATCGTCAATGCAATGCCTCGACGAGCATTTTGGGTACAACGGCTCGAGTTCAAATCGCTCAGGTTACGCGAACGGCCAAACCACAAGAGTGTCAGAAGCTCAAAACGTGTGTTTCGCCCACCCCGGCGCGTGACTATGGCGAACACTGGTCCCGACCGCGAGTTGAGGGGATGAACGCTGCTCGGTTTTTTCTTTGTTTTTTTTTTTTCTTCTTTTTACAGCTGCCATTGCGTGAAGACAAAAAAAAAAAAAAAAAAAAAGAGAAGTAACGCGTGCGTTACGAACGTAAATGATTAGTTCTGAGTTAAATGTTCTCAAAATACAAAAATTTGTTGCCCCAGCCCGATTACGCTTTTTTGCGCCCGTCGCGTGTCACCACACGATGAGTCTCCCCCAAAT